TCAGCAAAAACGAATAACCCTGGAATACACACAATATACTGAATTTCGGAACAAATCGTGCATTACTTACAGCAGCAGAATACCACAGAAATATCACACGAAACATGAAAACACTATATATTGTATTTCAGCCTGAACCCTCTATATTGCAATTCAAGGAATTAACCCCATATGTGCATCCATTTCCCACCTTGGTATCACCCACCCCTGAAAACAAACTCTTAATACCACGCTGAAGCGTTTGGTAATAACTACGAATACCAACTGTCAGAAATAGTAGTCCGAATAGCGAAGCTCGTAATTAGTTCCAAATCACTGAGTCAAGTTCCGTTCAGAACCTCAAATGGCCTAAACGATGCCAGACATAACACAGCAATTCGCTAGTAATCAACTAAATAAGTCGGTTAACAGATACGCGTAAACAAATTCATCATACAAACTGCAAATCAAGACTTTTACCGCATCCATAGTTGTTGACAGTTGATGATGATGGATGTATTGTGGCGTATTTTGACCCCCCCCCCGATTCTGACCTTGCATTCTTACCACATTTACTGACCTTTCATACCCGTTCAATTTCCTTTCATTATTTCATCATGATTCCTTGATATTTAAAACCAACCTTTATTTCACAGTCACGTTGGTTTTCACTTTTCTAAAATTATCTTACTGATCAAAAGACTTTTCACTCCAATCATGCAATCTCCCACAGTACTTCCGCAGACACAGCGGCAATCGCCAACATATCTACAAATAAACTCGCTCTCAGGAGCTGAGGAATAAAAAGCACAGTGCTGAGATTCACTTCGAGTATACCTGAAATATAATCTCACAATACGAACCGTGAAAACGTACAGTTTAGTGACAGTTGGGAATGATACCAAGATTTGACAATTCCATGATAACATCGCATATTGTTCTTTTAACACATGAAACGGATGTGCATAAGTCAAATTTTGTATAGTTCCAATACACATACAAGCACCCATATATATTTTGACAATAAACTTTTCTTTCACATTGTGTCTAAACCTAAACGTTTTCAACAAGCCTCAGCGACTAATGTGCGGGGTTATTACTGTGGCCAATGACATTGAACTTTGCTCTTCCATAAGGCAGCAGTTTCCCTCTTCAAATAATCAAAATTTCCCTTGATACCCTGGAGAAGTATGTCCATTGTTTCACAAGAACAACTGTCCTAAGGAATTTTCGTCTTCTCAATATATCAAGAAAAACGTCCCAAGGTTGTTTTGTTTACTAGAAGGAAATGTCTTTTGGTAGCATTACTTGTATTAATTTCTATTGCACAAAAGAAACAGCAAATACTGTTACTGAAGCACAGAATTTGCATGTTTTTTTTCCCAGGCCAAATCAAGTCTCTTACCGCATTCATAGTGTTTGACACTTTGCAGCCGCAATTTTGACCCCAGAGACTGACCTTGTACTCTGGCTACATTTACATGTCATACCAGTTCAATTTCCTATCATTACTTCATCCAGATTCCATGATATTTAAAACCAACCTTTATTTCACAGTCACTCTAGTTTTCACTTTTCTAAAATTATTTTACTGATCAAAAGACTTTTCACTCCCATCATGCAATTTCCCACAGTACTTCATCAGACACAGCGGCGAGCGCCAACATAACGACAAATAACCTCGCTCTCAGGAGCTGAGGAATTACAAAATATTTGCAAAGAGGAATGTTATAGTGGCAAGCGTTGTCTGACAGTGGACAAGCAAGCACATGTTGAATACATTGTTAAGAGCCCCACATGGAACACTATGCGGCGTGACGACTGTAACAACGTGTTTACAAAATCTGATAAAATGTTGCGATTTACTTATCTGCTTACATACAATGTCAAAAGGCTGGTTTGAATTACTGTAAAACATGTCTTTTTAGCTAGCATGTTATTTTAGCTAATTTGGCTAATCTGTAATTTCGCTAATTCAAGATGCAGCTAATTTAACATAAAGTATATTCTCACGAGGAGATAGTCGACACTTTAGCTAAATTAAGATTCTGTTAATTCATGCCAAGAGTCAAATCCGCTAAAATTGCATGCAGCTATTTCAACGTGTTCTACAGTATTAATAGATGACATGAACAATGGAGCACGTGACCAACATGAAATACATAGTATTTACATTGCTATAGCAACCAGTTAGTAAATTATGATTTGTGTTTCAAATTAAATTATTCCGTTCAAATAACTTGAGATTAAATACTCAAATCACATACACGAGTCATGACACAAATCCCTTGGTGACTTGTTTGACAAATAGAATTGCAGATGTGTCGATACACCACCTGAGCCTAATATAATGTTTTATTTTATCTTATTTTATTTTGTTTCAGGTATGGCAATTAATTCAATGTTTCTGACCCCAGCCGTAACACCTTGGAATACAACCCTTCCAGGCGTGGGACCAAACAACCCTGCTATCAGATTGTATGAATACAATAAAGATAACTTCGCAATCAAGGATATCAAACAATATTTTCTGGATCTGTCTCAGTCTGGAACACCAACCTGGAAAATGGAATACTCTGCGACGGCAGGCTACGGAATCCCAGACGTAACCACGGCATCCTTGCAAGGGTTAGTCGACTCTTTCTGGGACCAGACAAGTGACAAATTCGACAAGTATTACTTGTACAACAGTGTCAGCTATGACAAGAAGAAATGCGACTCTGTCTGCCGAAAGGTACAACTTTGCGCCATAACCAATGTTGATTTCGATGACTACGCAGTGTGCATTTCAGAATATACCAGTGGAGTACAACGCTACACAGGGAGTGCACTCACTTACATGGTTATATTGATTTGTTTGAATGTCATAATGCATTCATATATTCTTTAAACCTTGTACACTAAATGTACCTGACCAAGCAATTGTATGAATTCTAATAGCATGTAACCCATGGCTTTGATTTATTATATTGTGTTAATATCTGATAGGTATTCATGCACTACTGGTGACAAGCCATTGCATAACACGTTATTTTGAATCATTGCGATTACTGACTACCATTTTTAGACATGTTTCATGTATTAGCTGATTTAATTACTAAAATGCTGGTTTAATTTATTATAATTACATTTTCTATAAATAATTTCCATAAACAATTTGATTCAACTAAGAACAAATTTCTTGTCAATCTAATAATTTTGGTAATTAATTCAAATTAATTAATGCGCTCTAACTTCGATTAAATATAATATTAATATTCGGGTGTACTATCAGCTTTTTTCTTGTAAATGCCATAACTCGAGGTATTTATTGAGATTAAGGCGTCGTAATTAACATAGTAAAACTCAGATAACATATTCAAAGTTGATGTGGCTCCCGTGCATGAATAATTCTACTTGGGAATAAGTGTTTCGCAGGTTTCAAACTACTGAAAGTGTGTGGTTGATGCTTGCATACGAATGGGAGAGTTTAAAGCCGTTTATAGTAATCTGGTCACGTTCCACACATACTTAGCTATTGTTATTCACGATGTAAGCATGTAGAGGAAGAGTACTTCTTACGAACATCGAGTTACGAAAATGACCACGCCCATAACCAACGTTTAATTAACAGTTAATAACCGAACTTGTGTGTTCATAAACTTGATAGCAACGTCTGGATTCCCAGACATCAAATATGATGTTCTATAGACCGTCGCACTGATTTACGTATTGCGCGCATGCGCAGTGACTGGATGACAAGAATGGTCATTCGCTCCGAAGATAAAATAAAGTTGTTTGCTGATTCCGTTATTGAATATTTCTGTAAGTGTTTCTAGTAATAAAATAACTTGTAGGAATAGGGATTGTGAGCT